CTCAGTGAAAGCGAGGCTATGAGTGTTGAATGGAAAGAGATGAAGCAGGCCGGTTGAATGTCAGTGGAAGGTTTAGAAGGATGAGAAAGGTGGGTGTGGGCTGTCCAGAGAAATGAGGCAGGAAATCCAGCTGAAGAGAAAACTGCCTGGTAGCGGAGATGCCGGAGCAGAGGCGCCTTAGGGAGACAGACACCAGACCAGCTGGAAAAGCAGGCCAGCAGATTATGATGATGGTGAACATTGAAGCACCATTCACTAAGGAAGCTCAATGTTGGACCACTGATCTAATGGAGAAAGCTGCCTTCAATAGCCAGACTAATGGGAGGTAGATTGGCTGCCTCATAGGAAGGCAGGTGGCCTAATGGAAATACAGCCTGATGTCGTTCACACAAGGTCAGAGGCTGCTGGCAATAATAATAATAATAATAATTGCTTACACTTATATAGCGCTTTTCTGGACACTCCACTCAAAGCGCTTTACAGGTAATGGGGACTCCCCTCCACCACCACCAATGTGCAGCATCCACCTGGATGATGCGACAGCAGCCATAGTGCGCCAGAACGCTCACCACACATCAGCTATCAGTGGGGAGGAGAGCAGAGTAATGTAGCCAATTCATAGAAGGGGATTATTAGGAGGCCATGATTAGTAAGGGCCAATTGGAAATTTTGGCCAGGACACCGGGGTTACACCCCTACTCTTTTCGAGAAGCGCCCTGGGATTTTTAATGACCACAGAGAGTCAGGACCTCAGTTTTACGTCTCATCCGAAGGACGGCGCCTGTTTACAGTATAGTGTCCCCGTCACTATACTGGGGCATTAGGACCCACATGGACTGCAGGGTGAGCGCCCCCTGCTGGCCCCACTAACACCTCTTCCAGCAGCAACCTTAGTTTTTCCCAGGAGGTCTCCCATCCAGGTACTGACCAGGCTCACACCTGCTTAGCTTCAGTGGGTTGCCAGTTGTGAGTTGCAGGGTGATATGGCTGCTGGCTGCTGGCCAATGGTGGGAAGCGAGCCACTCCCAGCCCAGACATAAAAAAAGAACAGGCTGTCATGAGGTGTGGGGGGCTAAAGATAACTAGGAGCAAAGTGGTTGAGGCAGCAGTAAGCAAGAAGTAGGGCTCTAAATCAGATGCGTACAACAATAGAGTGCCAGAAGATAGAATGGAGCACTGGAGTAGCATAATAAGAAACATGGAAGAGAAAATATGAGGTGAGGTGCAGAACTCTGGATAGGTTGCAGTGGGTGGCAGGGAGAGGGAGTTAGATTAAGTGGGAGACCATTAGTGTCTTGGCAAGGAGTTGCATAGAATAGCTCGTAAGGAAGGAAGGGGCAGATTCTGCGAATGCAGCTCCAGAAGAAGCACGAGAAATGTGTCATAGAAATTGGTGAGAGTAGAAGAGGTGGGTCGAGGATGTCACAGACTTCCTTGCCATAGTGGGGTCCACTATGCGATAGTGGGATACAAAGAGGGAAGGGGGAAAGGAGGTCTTTGAGATGCTGAATTGAAGATGATGAGCTGGCAACAAGGAAGTGATGACTGTGAGACAGGCAAAGATCTAGAAAGAAACATGATCAAGGAAGAAAGTTGAACACCGTCAACATAACTGTGGTATAAAAACCACATGGCAATAAGAGAACCCAGGGAACAGCTGTGGTGAAAGGAAAGTGGGGGACCTTTGAAAGATCCTCAGGGACACCAGTGGAAAAGGGACGTGTCAGTAGATCTGATGCTGTATGTGCAGAAAGGTTGGAGAAGAATAATCAGAAAGGTTATAATCAGAAAGGTTGGAGAAGAACCAGGTGTGAGAAGTGCCACAAATCCTTAGGTCAATGTGTGCCGACATGAGAAAATAGTTCAGTTGTGGCTTTTCTTCTCTTTTTCAGCATGGAATAAACCTTTACTTGTTCCATAAAATGTTTTAGTTTAAAATGTAAATTTGTTGTACATTCAATTACCATTCATCTTAGAATTATTGTCACAATTAACATTTCAAAATGTAATATTCCATCTGTATTGTCACACAGCTTTGTGAAGTGCCTTGAGGCAACCTTGTTGTGAAAGGCACTGTATAAAATAAATTGAATTGAATTGAATTGAATCTTCTTTAGGTGTCATACCTTGTAAATGCTCACTGCAGGTATGATATGGAATTCATCAACATCAAAGGTTTTATTCCATATGTGAGAATATTCAAATAATTATATCCACAATTTTCTCTGTGATACAGTTATGTGTTGCTTTAGATTCTATGTTCACTGTAAATTGTTTTGTCCTTTTTGTGGTGAGCTGCCTGAAGCTCAGACAATTTATGATATCGCTGTACTACCTTTACAGGGAAAGAGGAGGACAATGTGATTTCCTGTTATGTTTTTTATATGGTTATAGGTCAGAGGTCTCCCACCCTGGGTTTGGTGAGCTACAGTACAATCCAGTTAGTGTTATAGATAACACATTTAAAGGAACCAGATTATCTCAAAATTATTAATGTCTGCAATGCAAACAAAATCATACTGTAGAGGAGTAATTTCAATTATATCTTCTGTGGAGCTCAAAGAGAAACAGATTGATAACTTACAGTATGTAGAATCCCTATTATTACTAAGAAAATAAAATTTCTAGCGCCTGTGACTGCCCTTATTTCATTTCTTGAGAGTAATTAACAGTAAAAAGGCTAAATAAGATGTTTTCAACTGGTCAGATATACTCAATGCCGTCAGCATTATCGTTGCCTGTCGCATGTGGCATTGTGTCTTATACCCACCCAAGCACTGAACACTGCTTCTTGTGTGTTTGAGTTTATTAGCAGTGAGGTCACTAGGTTTAAGATCTGCTTGGTGAAAAAGGTAGACTGTTCTAACCCAAATGAATGAACCACTTCTCTCTTCATCTATCATGCTTCTCCCAATTTTATTATCTCTATTTTTATTTCTAAATAGTTGGATTCAGGCTGCGCATCTTATAGCTGGTAAAGCCACTACCAGGTGGTTGGTTGGATGACCAAAGGGTTTTAATTAAATGCATTATCAATGCCAACACCAGAAAATATATTTCAGCCACTTGAGCAACAAGAAGGAGAGAGACTGGTGAAGCTTGCCACCAATTGAGTCAGAAGAGAAATACTATGAACATGTTCACCTGACCTTTGATAACTTTGATTGCACTTTCTCAATTTTTATGCAAATAACATCTGGCTTTGCTATGAAAGTGCTTCTTCCCCAAAGAATGTGTTAATGGAGGTATGACTGTGTTTTTCAGAGCTTTGAAAATAATATAAATATATAAGTTTGCAAAGAGATTATGTTGTTAGAACATTAAAAAAATAATTAATAATAATATTATGACAAATATCAAAAAAGAAAATCAGATTTAATATTACATTTTAGATATTAAAATAATATTTTATTAAACATTATTATTTATAACACAGGCAGGGTGGCACAGTGCTTAGCATTGCTGCCTGGCAGTGCTGTGGTCCTGAGTTCAATTCCCAACGTGGGTTGCCATCTGTGGAGTTTGTATGATCTCCCCATGTTTGCATGTTCTCCGGGTGCTCCTGTTGCCTCTCACAGCCCATGGACAACCTGGTAGGTCCATTGGCTTGTGGAAATATTGACCCTGGTGTGTTTGGATCTGTATGTGCCGTTAGATAGACTGGCATCCTTGTTCAGGGTGTACCGTGCCTTGTGCCCATTACGTACTGAGTTAGGCATCGACCCCCACTGCGACCTTGTACAAGATAATCATACAGTATCAGAAATGGATGGACATTGTTAGATGTTTTTAAATAAAATATTCCTATTATATTGTATATTTTTGTGGCATACAACATATACATTACATATGATACATTTCCAGGGCAATATATGGTATTATGGTAATATATTATAATACGTGAAAACCTGGCACCTATGAAAATCGGTACAATATTTGCTAAGTTCTGTTTTTTTTTTTTAATAAATAACTTATTTTACTGTTATACAGTAAAAACAGTGGCTGTTTGGGTGATATGTTTTCAAAAGGCCTAAGAGAAAAGACATCTTTTCAGCTACAGAACAGTTCATGTGATACAATGCATAGAGTATACAGTTTATGAAGTGACTATATCACAGCAGGGGATATTTTATGGGCTCTGTTTAAATGACCAGGTCATTAAACATCAAGCAGCAGCAAGCTGATCCATTCAGTGAACCCTCTGAGAGTGAAGCTGTGAAAGGGGAAGCAAGCAGGATATTTTCACCCTTAGAGGGAATTTATTTGATGGTGTGTTTTGTAGACAGGCCTGTTTCAAAAGACAATAATCATAGGCTCTTAACTTCACTTGAAATACAATATTCAGACTTGAGACACAACACTGATGGTGGTCTATCTTCTTAGGATATGTACTGTAGTTTCAGAGAGGTCTAGAGCTGCAGATGTCTTTTTAAAAATATATAATGTACATTATACTGTGTTTTTCTCAGATTGTATCCATCCACCCATCCATTGTGAGAAATATAAATATATATAAACTTATTCCCAGAGAGAGTACACGACAGGAGTTTCATTCATTACAGTGAGCAGCATTTCTTTGATTAATGTCTTGTAGGACAAGTAGTTCTTCAAAAAGTAAAAATTAAAAAGATATATTTAGTGAGTTGGTTGTATCCCCACGGGATCCCATGGGATCCAACTTTCAGTCATGGAAAATATGAGTGCTGATCCCTTGGCTTTGATACTTTTAATGCAGATGCAACGTTAACAATTGGACCTTTTTAAGAGCTGTTAAAGGTTTATAAAGGAGAGTGTTTTTCAATTGAAAATGCTCCACAAAAAATGCCTGACAAAAGCCCTTTTCAAATACCTCAAAAGTATGATTTTTCACCTTGGTACTCTTTTGGTCTTTGTCCTTACAGTAATACAAAATGAAATTTGTGAGAACATTAAATAGGATTTTTTTGTTATTAGACAAAATCACAGTGATTACTTTTTCAAAACTTTAGTGCTTTCATGTACAGTATATTTTAGGTTGAATGGTAAGCAATCGACCAAAACTTTGAAAAGCAGTCTTCAAAGTGGATTACAGAGTTAAATGTATATTGGAAATGACAAATAAGGATTTGCTTATTTTTAGGGTGGATTAGTTCTGGGCTTTTTGTGTATATGAAGGGGAGAGAGTAGGTATGTATACGTTTCTTTCTTTTATCTGACAAAAATCGTTCTTCATGGCATGTTAATCATGTCAATTTTGACACAGAGTAAATGAGCTGCCTGGAGACTCCTCTTTTCTGCAAAGCATAGCAAGAAAAAGATGGTCAATGCATTAAAAATGGGGGATGAAAATTCAGTGGTTTCATTAAATAAGTCTGCGAGGGGAAAAACTCAAATGTTGGGAAATGGAAAGCTGTAATGGTCTCATATTATCTGCTTGCTCCTTAAGGTTACATTCCCAGTTCACCGTTGCCAGAATGCCAGGAGGTTACATATTTCCTTGAACACAACACAGCAGTGGCATAAAATAGGGGTCTGTACCGAGTCCTGAACACTCAGTGCTTTTCCCTTTGGAATGGAAGGTCAAGAGCTTACTCCCCAGGCCTAAGCTGAATCAATTCTCTGAGGCAGCTCTGCTTCCTGTGCAGGGGTTTGAGAAATCCTGCAGTTATTTAAAAACCTATAGCAGGGAAAAGTTAGTTTTTCTAAGGCCTACAGATCCTGTTAATCACGCAATGGGAACTACAGTCTCAGAGGCTTTGTGCTGGAGCACATAAAGCATTAAACAGCCACACAGAATTGCACCAGAAAGCAAACTTTGTCATTCTGTCAGAAATGAGACAAGTCAGGAAAATGGTTTATAGCAAACATTTTATTTTTACGCCATAATATAAGAAAGATCTTCTCTATTAAGAAGGAAATGATACCAGTCTAGACAGGATATAACTTAGCATTATAACACTGTATTGGGAGAAAATACTATGCTACACCTGCTTTAAGAAGGCACTGCTCATGTTTTCTACACCTGTGCCAGGAAAAATAAATTCAAAAAGCAGTCTTTGGAAATGCTCATAAACCTAGAAGCTTAAGCTGCTTCCAGTTTATGCAGTCTATGCAATTGTAATAAATTATTCTAGAAGTCAAAGACTTCATTGTCCAGATTATTTAACTTACAAAGTTATCTGAGGCAGTTAAAATAGGAAAATGTTTTTAAGTGCTGTGTAAGGACGTTCTTTTCAAGTTCCAGTTATTGTTTTCTAACAATATTAGAGAAACAAAGAGGAACAAAAACACAATTAAATGAAGTGGTAATGGTGATTTGTTGAAGACTGATATATAGAGATGTTCTGCAGATGAGGAGTGGCTGCATTTATTTATGTGTTGTATTTATTTATGAAAGGAGTTGGCATGATAGAAGTAATATATTTGTACTGTTTGTTACAGCTCTAAATGTACACAGAAGAGATATTTAAATATCTTGTTATTTCATAAAGCTGAGTACAAAACACAGATTTTGAGCTTTTTTATACTCTTCTCAAAACATTAATTGTTATCACCATGTTTCAGTGATCTGTCACATTTTAGAAATATTTTGTTGTTGAGATGAAATACGTAGCTTTTGATTAAGCTGCTGTTTGTGAATTTAATTATACCCTAAGCAGGGCTGTTTTTTAATAAAAAAGTTATGCCTTATAGCTGTCATTTTTCATTATGTGCAATCCTAACATTAACTATAACACATTTTATCCCTGACATTAATTTTGATTTATGGATTAACATTATTCCTGTGAACAATTAAATAAATTTGCATTTTCCTGCTAGTGGTAATCAGAACAGTTGGGAAAGTTTTAAACCACAACCACGTGGTGGCTGTTTTTAAGAGCCTATTCAAGTGTCAGTATAAATTGAGTAACAGATTGTTTGAAAGAGAACACATAAAAAGAAAGGAGCCCCAGCTAATGACTGTGATTTTAGGATTCCATACAGTGGGAAAGAAAGATGCTGAAAACTTTGCTCCTGGAAATGGTTATTGTAAAAAATAATCCTCCTAATTGTTACAGAGATAGATTACATTTAGTTACTGTTTTTGCTGCCTAAAACACTCTTCTTGTGTATCAGACAGTTGTCTCATTGTATGAATGGTGCACACTAGAGAGTATTTTATAACTGTCTGGTTTTCATTTTTAACCTGTCATGTTCTTGAGAGGGTTAAATATTGACTATCTGCAGTATAAAGAGGATGACTGAAAATAACTTAAAAGTAGAAGTAAAACTATTTCTTTCCACAGTGTCCCCGATGAAAAGAAGCTTTTTCATGCTTGACATTATTGAGAGCTTCAGTAGAAGATTTTTTTTAAACCAAACATCAATGCATTTGTATTTTTATTAAAATATCAAGTGAATTTCTAAAGCTTTTGAATTGTCATTATGTAAATTTGGGATCACTGATCCCATGTTCTCTCATTTTCAGTCTCTCCAATCCACAATCCTTGTGTATATTAATAATAATATGTAAATATTTATCCTATAGATAAAGAAATAAAAGGTTTGACAATGGAGGAACGTGAAAAGTAGAAAAGTATAATGGAATAGTATCTAAATTGTTTTTAATAGTGTGGATCATTCCCATGCCATTTTGCTTGTTGAAAAGGGCAATGTAGAATAGACTTTAACTAAAGGCAGCTTGAACTACTTAATAATTTTTGAAGTCCTTTCAAAACTTGAGTTCAAGCTCTTGAAAGGCTGTCCTCATTATAGCAACCTCCAATTTTAATACCCTTAATTAACTGAATGTTGATTTAACATGATAATTCAAGAATCCTTTCAATACATTCTGCTGGAATACTGTCACACGTCTCTTACTGACTTGCATGACTTTCAGTATTGTGTGTATAAATATAACATCTGCTATATGTACTTAAATATATTTCTAAACACAGGATGTTCAGCTATCTTCAGGCTTTGATAAACTCAAGGGGCACTTTCTGAACCCTTTTCAAAAGTCTGACCCTGGTCCTACTCAGCCTCTTCAGCCACTCCAGGTTTACAGGTTTGCACATGTGATCTGTTCTGATAACCAAGAGTACTGATTCTGATGATCTCTCCCGCATTTGGTTATTTGTAATGCATACTCTACCTTGTTATTCTATTAGATATTTTGTTGCTCACAACCTTTAGATGCTTGTCTGAAGGCACCAGAGTTTGGCTAGAATATCCTGGTAAACTTTCAGTTTTAGGACACCATAACCTAAGCATGCAGATCAATAGAAGCATTGGTACTTTCACAAGCTCAACAAGGCTACACCTGGTCAGTAATGGGATGGAAGACCTCCATGGCAAAACAAGGTTGCAGCTGTAAATGATGCTGGTGGATCACTGGGTAGTACACTTCTCTCTGGACCAGAATACAAAAAAGAAACATTGCTCCAGCCTGGTGACAGGGGACAAATTGCTGAAGAATGTGCCATCCTTTGGAAGAGTCATTACATGGAGATCCTGGCATATTAGTCATGGAGATCCTATGATATTATTTGTCATAGTAAATAATTTGACTCTATCGTCTTACCTAAATTTTGCATTGGGCTTGTACAATCTGGCTTCCATAAAGTTCCTCCTTAATTATGTTGGTTTAGCATTTTCTCACTTCTCTAACCGATCTGCTGTATAGTGAGGCTGCTATTACATGAAGTGTTTCAACTTTGAGGTCTTTCAACTAGAAATAATGGAGCCTCAGATAAATCTTATAGGATACGATATTGCCACCACGCTAAGCTTTTTTGAAGAAAAGCTCTTAGAACAAAATATATATATATAAAAATATACTAATTTATTAATATAAATTGATATACGTAAGGGGGTAACAAGAATTTTTGCAAAACAAAACTGTTTTGATTTGTGTCAGACTTTTGATTAACTGGCTGCATGCATTCATTTACACAATTTCTTTTTTGGGTATTAAATTGATAGGCTAACTCACTTACTTAATGTCCAGTAATCTGGTAAACATTACACTTTTATTTCTCTACAGTAAATTTGGGGCTGATGGTAATCATAAAGCCACAATTTTACACTGAAAGTCATGGACTCCTGTTACTTAAGATAAATTCTGTCAAAAGCCATATTGCTTTGTTGGCAACTATAATACTAGCAAAGAATTTATTATAGTATAGAAAAATGTTTATTATAGCACATCAAGAGCCAAGGAATTCTTATAAGCAGAGTGCTTTCTTGGTCCCAAATATAGGTACAGTTTGGAGAGAGAGAAGGAAAAACGTGAATGCAGGCTCTGGATTGTATTATGTGTTGCTCCAGCAGGGTGGTCTGAGCTGCCTGCTTAAAAGCAGTAAATTTTAGAAACACTCTATCCCTCTCTCCAGATGACTTGCACTGATTCCTGGTACAAGGATACAGAGCCCTTAACCATTTAAGGGATAAGTTAATACTGTCAACGTCGGATATATATAAATGTTCAATTTTATGAAGCTGGCAATAAAATCCTCTAAAAAAACAAAACAAAATGTACAACATATTTACTACAGACGTCATGGTGAAATTAGATGTATTCCCTCTGGAAACTTTCATGAATAATGAGACATATGTGTGAAAACATTGATAATTATGCGCATGTTTGATGGGAGATCTCCCAATGCTTCAGATTCAGATTAATTTTGTAATTGGTAAAATCTAGTGATCAAGTCTACAGAGTGTCATTTCTACAGAGTGATTTTTACAAAAAATGTTTGAGTGTACTCTCTTAACAAACTTAAAGGTGTCCTCAATCTTTTTGTCTTTCATTCTGTTTAATTGTTCTTTTTCCAGTTTGTATTGTGTTATTTTACCAAACTACAATGTAAAGGATGAGAGAATTTAATTCAAAGTTTAAAAGTGAGCATGCAAATTTTTCTGTTGCATTGAAAATAAATGATACATGGAAAAGCATAGCTTGCGACAAATTACAGCTATCACTCAACATGGTGCTGTTCAGGGAAAAGTATTTGTAAATAAAGGGGGTGAGGTACAGAGCAGTAATCCATGAAGCCATGCGCCATCATCTGTGAGAAATTATTCATCTTCATAGTTTGCACAAAAGCTGCTGTAATTGTCCTTGTTTTTGAGAGGCATAAATAAGAGGCCCGTTGTCTTTGTATCTGGTAATCAGTTGGGTTGAGAAGTTCCCACGATAACACTGCACCTTCCTGCCAATCACAAGTGATGAAGTGATATGAATGACCTATTGTCCCTTGCAAGAGGCAAGAAAAGTTGTTTGTCTCTCAGTGACGGTAAGTCCAGAGACCACAAAAAAGGAACTATCGTGGCATGGGATTCCTCAGTCTTTACTTCTATCTGCCATTGTCAGGTTTACCAGTCTAATACAGACATTCTGCATATGAAAAAAGGAGAATTAGGCAGTGTGCAGGGAAAGACTATTGGACAAGAGGTTTCAATTTAAATATAAAACTAAAATTTCACTGGGTAATTAATAGGTTGTTTTCTAAATGTGGCATACTGTATGTGTTTTCCCAGGGCTTCAGTAATTAAATATTTATTTATCATTGATTTATTAATATTTTTGGCAGACACTTCAAACAAAGCAGAAGTAATATTGTGTTCCCTTACATTAAAATTGCTTCTCAAGACCAAGTATTTTATTTTGACGCTAATTTCTTTCCAGTCTACTTCTAGAAGCCTGCTAAGTACAAAATGTACTTTTGTTTTTTTTCCATTACAGCAGTTTAACTTTGGATTGTGATTGCACTTTGCTTTCATCTTGAGCTGCTTATCACCACATACACCCCTGACCTGTCCTGATTTATGCAGTTTTTCCCCAGTACTGTATATTGGCGGATTGGCCAGCCTTTATCAGTAGCCAAAAGATATCCGAATACAGATTAAAACTGTTGTTTTATGTATTAGGACACATAAAACCTTGTTTCAACATAAAATTCTGTTTGTAAAGCTATTTATTGTCTAATATATTGTCTTCAAAAAGAAGACAAATTAGAGACAATGCAATTGATTCTAGTTACCAGAATTAATTGTAATTGATGTATAACACCCCTAACAAAATGTAATATAAGGTCTGAAATTTAATATTTAATATGATTTTAAGATCAATAAAGTAATTAAATAAAACAACACATACATTTTTATACGTTTATAAATTAAACACAATTTTCCAAAGTAGACGGATGAATGAACATTGAGTGAAAAAGACATTCATTGGTCATATTCAGCCTGCCCATGACTTTACATCAAGAATCTTTCCACACATTGTCCAGTGTTCAATTAAATTTCATATTGTTGTCAAGATCGCAAACCCCTCCTCTTAAGGGCCCTCCAGCCTTTCCTCGTTAGCCTCATTCCCCGCACCTGTTCCTTGTTTCCACCCTGTTTCAGTTCGCCTTTATAAGCCAGGCGCTCACTTCTCTTGAGGCTCTGCATCCGATCTCTACATTGTGTGAGCCTGGGACCTGGTTGTGCCTGGCTCCGTTATGTTTTTAGCTTCCTGCTCCTATTCCACCCCGCTGGTCCCGACCCAGCACCTGTTTTTAAATCCCTGGTTTTTGGATGTATTACACAGCCATGGAGCTTTGCTTTCGTTTTGGATTCTCCCTTTGGATTCCTTCTGGATTGTTTGCCTCAGCCACACCTCCCCCGTGCACCAGCGCACTTTGGACATGACCCCCTGTTTTTATTCCCATATTCCTGCATGACTTTTTCCCTAGTGTTTCCTCACAATTCTGGATTGTGTCATCTGCATGGGGTCCGGAAAGAACTGTTTCATTACAATTGTGTTTCAGTGATAATGGAGCAATACCTGAAGCTTTTATGTCCTATGGGACATTGGCAGTAAAAAATATGCATCTTTCACAGAGCACAGCATCAACCATTATGAACATTTTAATTAGAAATAATGAACAAAAGTATATCAAATTTTCATCCCATTTCTTGGAAATGGAAATTTCTTGGAAACGAATACAGTACAGTTTGCTTGTATCCACTATAAGAACAATGTTTAATTTTGAGAGTACTTTAATTTTAAAAGGCTTACAGTTACAACTTCAACATTGCAGCCTAATTTCATCAGATCTCAGAAACTAAATAATGTTGGGCCCGGTCAGCACTGGATTGCTGCTGCAAGTGATGTTGGTGGACCAGTAGGTGGAGCTCTTCTCTGGGGTCCACAATCTTGAAAAAGCAGTGCTCCAGTGTGATGACAGGGGACATTGCTGCAGGAGGTGCTGTCTTTCAGCTGAGATATTACACTGAAGTCCTAACAACCTGGCACTTTTCAAAACAGTAAAGGTGTTAACCCCACAGCCCAGGCTTAAGTATACTCTGGGCTTCTTATAACTGTTTTATCTAAAATGTCTCTTAAATTCAATTGGTGACTTAATTTCTT